CCCCCCCCCGCCCTCTATATAAAGTTGTTCCTCCAATCATCTGGAAAAACCTGAGGTTGATGTCTACATGACCTCATGACCTACAGGAGAGAGAAGGAAGTGAGCCACCTAGTTAGAAGTGGAAATGTTTAGAGATGAGTTTTGTGGCAGTGTAATTTAGGAAACTGCTCTTGGGAGAGGTTTCTTTTGTCCAAATCAGACACTCGGGCCCACTCTTTAACTTCCCTTTGGTTTTGGTAACTCCTGGGACCTCTAGAAGCTCCACAGACCAAAAAGTACCTCCCTGGAACTTAGACATCTTCCACAGAACCAAGTCCATACCCAATCTGAGCTTAAGTCCATTCTGTACCTGGAATGAAGGAAACTGCAATTTATTGCTAAAACAAAATCAAGGTTTAATAAGGCGAAGATTACTTTTAAAAGGGTTATGAAGAATTAAAATGTGCATATGTTTAAACTGCCTGAAACTTCAGGAAGTTTAAAAATATTTTTAAACTGTAATGTCTGATAACACCCTATTATGCATATATGTAGGCAAAGCTCACTGTCACCCTATGGAAAGAAAATGTTTGGTGTTAAAGAAAGATGTGGCATTTATAATTTTGGCATATGCTCAGATACAGTATGAGATAAATGATACATAGTCATGTGTCACATAATGACAGGGATAGTCTAACAATGCATCATTAGAGAATTTCATCTTTGCACAAATGTAATAGAGATGTATGAAGTTGCTGCTGATATAAAAATGCCACAATATTATAACAGCTACAGTGTCATGAGGCATCAGGAATTTAGGGACTACCATCCTATTTGTAGAGTACTGTTGACAAAAAACATTGATGATGCAACAATTTGACTATAACTTAATTCTCTTCTCATGAAAACCAGTACAGCAATGCTTATAAAATTGAAATATATGCATGTGTATAAGTATATTAATACACATACACATAGAAGAATGTACACACCACACCACTCTACATTCATAAAGGCAATGTTATTTTAGGAAAAGTGACAGCATGCATGACTTTTTTTCTTATTAGTGGATCTTATGAAAATAATAATACATGCTGGAGTAATAACACTGACACATCACACTGTAACAAGGAAACATGATTCAGACTCTGTTCTCTACTCTGTAACTCTTTACTACACATCTATGCAATTTCCAAACACCAAGAAACTCAGAGATGTATGACTTTCTGATTTTGCAAAGAAATACAGAACTAAAGAAACAAAGACAATGATGATGTGGTAAATCAACTTGTATACAGTTAAAACAAACTGTGAAACTTTTAAAAATGGAAAACATCAGAGAAAGCTCAGAAAATCAGTTTACTTACTATAGTAAGATAGCCCTGTAAGCATGCCACTGCCAGCAAAAAAGGTTTAAAAAACATTGTTTCATTGTTAACATATTATTACAAACAATCAAAGAGTTATGATTTTGGCATATTTTACCTTAGTTTTTCTTACTTAGCAGTTCAAATAGTTTCAACTTCCTATTTTATATGCGAAAAGTCAAAATACTAGATAGTCCAACAAGAAATAATTTTTGGTCCTACTTTTCTACTGTTTCATACTGAAATTGTCAAGTCCTATAAAATATACTTATGTTGATTTTTACAGTTCTCTACAAATTATTTTTGAAGACAAGTTTCTATGTATCAAAAAAATGAAACACTTTTCAATGGCCTCTAATCTGTGTTTAAGTTTATAAAACTTTCACTTAAAAGCCTGTCCAAATGTTTCCTTGATTGGTTTAAGGGCTAAATCAAGATACAGACAATAGCCTGACTCTAAACCCAATATTTTTCCATGCCATAACCTGACTGTTTTCACCATAATCACTACAAAAAACAAATCCAAAACAAACCAAATACCACCTTGGTTTGTGGGCCTCTGAACATAAGAAAAAGTTTCTACCTAGACACTTTTTTTTAACGATTTATGCATACAGAACTGGGGGACAAGCCAGTGGTGCAGGGGCAATGAGAGGATTCACCAGAGACAGAGTGGGGAGCAGAACAGGCAGATCGACAAAGTACACTGCTGAGGGGAGGTCAGAAGAGGTCTGCCACATCATATGGATCACCTCTAGGGCTGGGGATCGAACTCGCACTGAAGCAGCTGCGGCCAGCTTGCAGTGCTGGGCCCTCACCCATCGAGCCGCCAGGGAGGGCCTCTCTCTGGACTCTGAAGTAAAGAAGTGACTCTAGTATAAAACTGTCTTATACATGATATGTATGCTTTGATAGCAGACTGTAAATTAAAACTTTTTTTAAATTCTTAGACATCTGCTGCTGATCCGTGTTTCTACTCTTTAGAATGTTCTTAACATTCTAAAACTAACATCATCTAAAATGTTTTCAGTGAACTTATCCTCTTCTAAAATTAAACTATAGAAAACGTTACTAGTGTTCTGCTCTGCCACTACAAGAAAGAAGCTCTGGGTTCTAAGTTAAAGTAATATCTGCAAGGGATACACCAAATACAATATCCTCTGAACAAAAGAATTTTATTAAAAAGGAGGAAAGATTTAAATTGGACATTTACTTTAAAAGATATATATATGATAAAAATCACACATAATTAAGAGGTTAACAAATAGAAAGACATGTCTACTCCTTTGAACTGACTATTCCTAACACTATTTTTATTTTAGTGTTGTTAAACATAAATCAAATTCAACCTGACAATTTATATGCTATATCATTTTTTTAAAATTCTATCTAATCAATTAACTTTACAAGTGAGACATGTGTACACATATATAGGCAGTATGTAGATATATATGTATAGGTAGATAGATACAAATTTTTAATTACCTTTATGGTTTTGTCCATATCTCCATAGCACAAGGAGTTAAGTGAGATTTTAAAGGGCCTCCAAATAGGATTCAAGTTGTTTTTAATAACCTATAATAGTAAAGATTCAAAGACCAATTAGAAAAATATCCAATTCATTAATGTTCTGTTCTCGCCTTTCCTGGATTCTTGCTATTTACCTTTCACCTCTTTACTCACTCAATTTTTCAATGAAAAATTACCTAGGGCAAGATTATACAACTGTTTCATGAAAATGTGATGATTTACTAATTGTAATACATTCTGACACAAGAAAATATATGCACCATCACAAGGTACACTTAACAATTGTAGAAGATTAACAATTTTGTTGGAAAACAAGGTTTTCATTATGGAACACAGACTACTCAAATAAGGAAGAAGAAACGATAGGAATGAAACTTGCTATGTTTGATTTGAGTAGGATAGTTCAAATCCATGACATAAAAATTGTAATACATGTATGTATAATCACAAAATAAATGTTTCCCAGCTGCTTAAAGAAAGTTCAGAAAGTAAGGATATCCCAGTAGCAATGAGTACTTATTGCATTCAAGTCTTAGTGTCGAAATACTACTATCTTTAAAGGAATGGGGTGCTTTAAAAGAAATGGCTCATTCTGGATCTGGAACAGGGAGAATGCAAGGTGAATTGAGAATGTTCTTTAACATAAAATAAGAGAATGCTTTAAAAACTTACACCCGTGTCTCTGGATATATGTATCTGAACTCAGATTGTAATTTTTTTAAATTTCAGATTATAACAATTCCAAAGGAAACTTCAAGCCTACTTTTCAAATTCAAATATTCACCTCTGTTCGATGAACCATTAGCCAGTTTCCATCAGAAGTCTGCTTGTGGAATTCCAGGTATGGATCTGACTTTCCAAACAGATCCTACATTTAAAATAAAGAGCAATTACTCTCCTCTGAAACCATAGTACAGATCTATATTACTGAATACAAATCCCAAATCCAGTCATGTTGCTCACAAACTTACAAATTTACTGGTTGATAAATACTCATAATACTGCATATTACATCCTTAATTCTCAAAAAAAAAAGATTGTTCTAAAAAATTGATCATAAGGGAGCATAATCAATAAAGTGTTTTTGGCTTGTTTTCATTATTAACATTCTTCATTCACACAGCATTGAGTAGTTGTATATAAACAATAACTAGAATGAATCCTATTACTCTATAATGGGCAGAGCAGTTACTAGTAAGAAAATGGTTTCAGGAGTTAGAGAACTGTAACAAGTTCACATCTAATTAGTTGAAATTTTCTTCATATCTCACTTGTCTATCCTTTGCCTTTTCACAAGTTTTGCACATACGAAATCAGAAGTAGATTATGTGAAGTACACAAGAGAAGTACTTCAAGGACATTAAGTACATTTCCTATCTCACTGCAATTCACACAGCACTCCTATATATTGCTCAGGCACAGTGAATGCCCTAGAATATTCTTCATGTTGTCTTCTATACATGGACACACCCACACAGGGGAACATAAGTCTGAAGGATGTGTAAATCCAGAGTCTAAACTCTGGTACTAAGATTATAGATGATTTAATGTTTTCATCTCATTTTGAAATTTACATATTCTCTAGTATACATTAGCTATTTTTTTTGTCAAAATGGAAGGATATTTATTGATCTCAGAGTAATATGCAGGTATGTCCTAACTAGTGATTTTTTGACTTGTGAATTAACCTCAATAATACAAGAAGAAGTAATATGTTATTTCCTTTCTCAGCACAGACTAAAGTTAGGTAACATATTTAGCACAGTCAAAAATATAAGTATAAAGACCATGTAGCCCTACTCATATTGCACCTTATCTCTAAGGATAATCTTTAGCAAATATAATAAGCCTCACTCTGGCCCCATTTATGAAGCTAAAAACAACATTATACAAAGAAATAAATTTTCTAAAACAAATTAGTATGCCATCTGACTTATCTTAGAAATGATCCTATGCTAAAGGCAAAATACCATTATTACTATTTTCAAGATCAAAACACAGTATTTTTTTGAAAGTTCATTAAGTTTTCTGTAGTAGAATGAAAATAAGACTGAAAAGTTCCTGTGCTTCCCTGGTGGCACAAGCAGTCTTCTCAGCAATATGAAGCTACCAGCAGCTACTTCAGCCTGAGTTTTATCCTTGGCCAGGAAGGTGACCGCCATGGCTTCAGCAGACCTCTCCTGTCTCACCCCTTAGCAGTATATTTCAGTGGATCTGCTTGTTTTGTTCCCCGCTCTGGTAAATCCTCTAACTCCCTAGACTTGTGGCCTGTACCCCAGTTCTTGTATGCATAAATAAATAAATCTTCTAAATAAAAATTTACTTTACAATGCAAAAAGGAAAATTTATAAAGTATGGAATTTTTGCCTTTCTTCCTTATTAAAGTAATCCAGTTGCAGTCTCTTGAATGCCTTTTAAAATTATTTAACGTTTCCACTAACTCCCTTTTTAAGGTAGACCCATCTATTACATCTAGAGAAAAGAGGTAAATAAAAGTAGCTACTAGGTCCCTCCCTGGTGGCGCAGCAAGTTAAAGCACAGCACCACGAAGCTAGCTGTAGGCACTCCAGCACGAGTTCAATCCCTGGCCAGAGAGGTGACCTACATGGCACAGCAGACCTCTCCTGCCTCGCCCACTGCTCCCCTCAGCAGTGTACTTTGTCAATCTGCCTGTTCAGCTCCCCACTCTGGTGAATCCCCTCACAACCCCTGCACCTCTGGTCTATACCCCAGTTCTGTGTGCATAAATAAATAAATCTTTTTTTAAAAAAAAGTAGCATAATACTCATGTTATTCTCAGGTGATAGAGTTCATAATATTTTGCATTATTTTCTCAAAAAGGAATCAATGTGAAACAAACACATTTATCTGAAAGTCTGTGTCACCTACACACCTTATTATCCAGTTTTCTTGCTTCCATTTCAAACAAGACCACTCTGTTATCCTTTATTTCTTCAGCTGAAATCTAGGAGTAAATAAAAAATGAGATATATTAGAGATTTTTATATACTCAGGAAGTATATATTATCTAAGAGTATATAAATGCAATAACAAATTCTGAAAAGTTTAATAACAAAAAAGTTTAATAAAAAATTTATCATTATTTCTTTTATACATGAACTATTTCCCTAAAATATGCAAAGCTTATATTATACAACTTCCTTTTCAAATTTATTACCCAAACTGGATCTTCCCCATTCCAGTCATAGCTTAAAGCTAGCTAAAGCTCTCCAAACATTGAAAAGTACAGTAAATCCTACCAAAAGAAAACTATAAATTAAAATATCAGATCAACATTTTTCATCCAATGTAGACCACATGACTTAGTCTATTATACCTATAAACAAAGTCCAGGCTATCAAGACCCCATGAGCACTAAAGCTAACTACTAATACTGTTCTCTGTCCAACAGAAATGAACATCCTAACAGACGGAACTTTCTTATGCCTCAGAGCAAAATAGCTGCTCAGAAAAATGTGTTTGATAATCACAGTAACTCTCAGACATGGCTTTCTCAGAGAACCAGTATTCCATTCTCAGAGCTAGGCTAGAAAACTATTGTACCAGGCAATGATAATCTCGACAAAAAATTTAAAAAATACAAGATTTAAAAGGTGGTATTACATAGTTTGAAATCTAAGGTAAAATAAAACAAATATTTATATGCCTTGGGCCAGGCATATAAAATCTGGATGGGAGGAAGGAGAGGCGAGTGTAAACACAAGAAAAGATAGTTAAGTGTTAAGAGGTTCAAAGGCCATGTCATAACAGAAGGTCTATCTGTAATAAAATCCTTTATGGAAAGTTTGTCATAATGAAGGGTCGAGGGAACTATGTTTGAAAGGTAGAGTACCAAATTGATCCATTCAGATCACTAAGGGGCTTTCTCTACAAGAGGGAGAGGCAAGCACCAAGGTACTCCTGACGTTATAGGTAACGTAAACCTCAGAGAAGGGATTCCCACACTGCATTTTCCCCGTTTTTGGACATAACACATTTCCCATCTATGACAACTACAAGACATGAGTGGCCAAGGGCAACACTGAGGATCAAATGATAAAGCGTGGTTGTAAGGTCCTCCCTGGTGACGCAACTGGGTGCAGCACAGCATTATGAAGTGATCTGCAGCCTCTACAGCATGGTTCTATCCGGGCCAGGGAGGAGACCCACATGGCACAGCAGACCCCTTCTGACCTGCCTGCTGCTCCCCTCAGCAGTGTATTTCAGTACATCTGCCTGTTTTGTTCCCCTCTGTGTCTCTGGTGAATCCTCTCACCACCACCACAACCCCTCCCGCCCCCCACAGAACTCTGGCCTGTATCTCAGTTCTTGTATGCATAAATAAATCTTAAAAAAAGAATAATTGTAGAATATTTGTCTGACATGTACAGCTTCAGGAGGTACTAGTAATCTAATTATTTTGTTAAAGACAAGACATTTTAATGTTACCGTAATGTTTCCTTTCCCAGCAGGTTTGCCATTTTTAAGCATTAATGGTCGAGTTAGCTTCTTACTGGAAACAATCTGTTAAAATTGGAAGTAATATAAGGAGTTCACTTCAATATGTGAATCTTTAAACTGCAAGGTTCAAAAAAAAAAGTTGAGTGTAAAGTTCACTAAAGAATGGAAATATCAAAGCTATTTCCTTAAAGATTTAGAGATTATAAAAACACCTACTGGAAAAGATTTCCAAGGAGCCAATCACAGCATAGGCAAATTCCTCACCTACTGTTTTTTATCAGCACTTCAAAATTTTATCTTTTTCTTTATTGCAGAGAAAAGGGTTAGATTCTTATCACACACTCACACAACTGATCTGAAACTCCTTTAAGTAAAAGGTAAGTCTCAGACTAGTCAAAATGGAATTTAACTTTTCCAACTGACACCAAATTTAACATTCAAATCCCACAAAATACCATGTTGACTCAAACAATATAATAGATCTAAGTATTTGTAAGATATTATTCATAAGTTCATTACAAATTTAGCTGCACTGTGATTAAAAAAAAAATCTGTAATATTCTGATACTATTCATTAAAGTTTTAGAAAATTGTTCAGTTCCATATTGTACTTGATACATAATAAATACAATGATCTCCAAACAATTCAAAAACTGAAAAATAAGCTCATATAAGATAAAGCTGAACAATAAATGACACCCACTGAAGATAAAATGGCTACTCCCTCCTAAAACCTTCCCCAGTCTACATACCCATTTTCATGATCTCTCCTTAGTGGACAGACTGAGCTATTAGCAAAATAGTGAGTTCACAGATATATCCCTACCCTGACTGAGCATATCATGTACTGAGAAGAAATAAAGCAACTGCAATAAAATATAATGATTGTTAAATAACAGGCAGTAGAGTGCTAAGTTCATAGGAGGTGCTTATAAACTATTATAGGGGCCAAAGAGCATTTACTAAGGGAGTAACATTTAATCTGATAAGTTTAAGATTGAAGGGGAGTATATCAGTTATAGTATGTTATTGGAACATTGGGAGGTCAATCATGTGGGTAGAACATCAGAAGTTAATGTTATTTTGATAACATTTATGACAAGATAAAAAGATACTTCAATCTATAAACAGCAAAGCAATTAGAGCAATGGCATTATTTGTTGAAATGTCTAAACATACCTCAAAGCATACTAGACTGACAAAAACACCTGGTCCCTTAGGAAAAATAAGGTAACAAGTATATCACCATATTATTATAGTTATTTAAAGTGATTACAAATTTGGGCCTTCCCCAGTGTCACAACAAGTTGAAGCTCAGCAGTAGGCATCTGCATCCACTACAGCACAAGATTGATTCCCGGCCAGGGAGATGACCCACATGGCATGGCAGACCTCTCCTGACCTGCTCGCTGCTCCCCTCAGCAGTGTATTTCAGTGAATCTGCCTGTTCTGCTCTCTGGTGAATCCTAGCACCACCCACACCACTGACTTGTACCCCAGTTTGTATATGCATAGATAAATAAATCTTTAAAAACTAAAGTGATTACAAATTATTAAACTAACAAGCACTTATCAACATTAACATTTAGATAAAATATACCATAATAGTTGTTTATACTCACTTGTCCAAGGGTACATTCACATTCTCCTAAGAAGTCATCATCACTCAGATCAATAGTTTTGTTGTCAATATCATAAATCCCAAATTTCAATTTCTGAACCACTTCAAAGTAGTAATCAATAATAAATGTCTTGGAAAATTTGGGACTCAAGCAGTTCTTAATCCTTTCTGTGCGGTCAACCTATAGCCACAACCAAAATAATAAGTAAGCTCACCTGAAAAACTGCATTAACAGACTAGATGGTATTATTATTGTTAACATTTGAAATAAACTCTTCACGTTATTAAAAGTGACTGAATTTCATTGTCAAAAAAGCAGTTCAATTTGCTTTTCAACCTCATTTAACATTACCTCATACCACTGCTGACCAGTCGTATTCAAAAATAATGCACACAAAGGGTCTGACTTTGACCCTACATCTTTGTCCAAAAGATTGTCACAGGAAACATTCAGCTCCACCTTCGTGACACACTGGGCAGCCATCTCTTGAGCTGTGGAAACCCAAGTAGATAGGAAAGCAATGAAATAGTTGCTTTAGGAAGCAAATATATTCCTACTGAATTCTTAAAACAAATTTTCAGAACACAGAGTGAAAGTGCTAGAATAAGATTTTGTTATATGTCCCTCCTGGCCATGCAGATGTCCATTAGCCCATCCGTGTTGATAATTTAGTCAGATTCTATTGCTAGGAAGAAATTTATTTACTGTGTAAGAATGAAATGCAGCTTTTTAAGGTAACAAGTAAGACATTGATTTACTTCATTTTATACTATAAACTTTACCATTCATAAGAAGTCCAATCTTGATTCTACAATTAAAATATAATGTCCCGTACAAAACAGTTTGGGGTACAGTGCCCTCCCTGTGGCACAACAGGTTGAAGTGCAGCACTGAGGAAGCTGGCCACTGCCTCTTAGGTGCATGCCAGTTCCATCCCTGCCCTGAGATGATCCACAAGGCACAGCAGACCTCTCCTGTCCTGCCCTCTGTTCCCCTTACCAGCATACTTCATCAGTCTGTCTGTTCTGCCCCACACTCTGAATCTGATGAGTCCTCTCACTGCCCCTGCACCTCTGGCCTGTATCCCAGTTCTGTATGCATAGATTAATAAATCTAAAACAAGAAGAAAAAAAAAGCTTAGGGTACAAGCTTAATTCCACTTTTTCAAAAAAAAAAAAAAAACAACAAAACTGGGGTACAGGCCAGAGATGCAGGGGAGGTAAGAAGATTCACCAGAGACAAGAGTGGGAACCAGAACAGGCAGATTGACCAAGTGCACTGCTGAGGGGAGCAGCGGTCAAGACAGAAGTTGACTGTGTGGGACACCTCCCAGGCTGGTGATAGAACTTGTGCTGAATTGGCTGCTGCTAGCTCATAGTGCTGTGCTTTAACCTGTTGAACCACCAGGGAGGTCCCTAATTCCACTTTCTATAGTTGACTCTTGAAAAATGGAGGGAACTAGGGGTGCCTACCACAATCAAAAATTCCTATCACTTACAGGCCTTCCCCTTCCCCATGCATCTGCAGACCCAACCACCCACATCTCTGGGTGGCTGAAATCTGTGAATACAGAACCTGCCTGGGGGGGGGAGGAATGCACATAATACACACACGTATCTGCCTATAAGGGGATATACAGCTGAAACAATTTTGTTCAAAGACTCAACTGAATTTGTTCATTTAAGAGGAAGATACTGAATGAGATATTTGCTGTTTGCAAAGAATTTCAGCCAACAGTCAATCCTGGGCAAATAAGATCTCAGATACTCCTTCCTCTACCTACCTCTTTTCATTCATATATTATAGCAGAGGTTCTTAATCTGGGCTGCATATTGGCATCATCCTAGTAGTGTTCGAAACCACTGCTACTGGAATCCCCGCACAAAGAGATTGAATTCAAATGGACTGAATTCATCTGGTCACATACAACTTGAATGATTTTAATGTGTAGTCAAGATTGACATGTATGTTTGAGGATGGGCTGCTTTCCTCCCCGCACACAAGGAAAGAAAGGAACTTCAGGCACTACATTTCCCTGCCAAAGGTCACAGTTGCTCAGCTTAGAAATTAACAGTGGCAAGGCAGGTTTGGGGTATAGAAAGGGATCTCCTCCCCTATAGCCTTTGGCTACATCCTTAGAACGTTGGGTATTTAATGCCCTTTGCCCTCTACTTTTAGAGGAAGCTGAAAATCTGGGCCAAAAGAAACAAAAGTTTCTAAATGTTAGCTGTATACATATAAACATATGTACATACGTATTTTTTCTTTTGCACAAGACAGTGTCTTACAAATTGTATGACATCAGGACCCAGGGTAGTAATATATTACCTGTGGATGGATTCAGAAAGAGCAAGGACTTCTAAAATTTTCAAGAAACATGTAAAAAAATTCTCTGCCAGCAGCCAGCCAGAAAACCCTCAAATTTCCAAGGATGAGGAGAATTCACCAGAGAGTGCAGATAATAGCTGTGTGTGAAGCAAGTCTCAGAGCAAGAGACACAACACATTAGAAGAGCATCATTTTCCCCCCTAACAATACTCGCATAAGAATTACAAAAACAAGGCAGGCACACCCGGTTATTTAGTAAATTGCTGACAGTTACATTACTGCTTTGCTGCCAGGAAACAAATTTCCTCTATTAGCAGCATTCCCCCCTGAAAATAATTCTGAATGCAGTTTCATTTTTATCTAGAAACCCATTATAGCTGAATGGCAAATGGAAGAAATTACATAAACACTCAGGTCTGGAAGCTTGTTAATAGCTTCCATGAAGATGTTCTTTTCATTTCCTTTTTCAGGCAATTATCTAGTACATGACAAACAACTTTTAAAAGACCAACAGGATATCTTTTATGATGGAAGAAAATAAAACAAACGTTCTGTATCCCTTGAGTATGGAAAGTAGGAAATCTGGTTGGGAAAAGTGAACAGGCAGAGAAATATAAGTGATTCTTGGTTATTTTACATCCTAAAAAGCAAGATGACAGAGAAAAAGGGAAAAAAAAAAAGCCCCTAGGGTGAGGCAATAACTTCTCTAATACACAGATCACTTATTGGAGAGTCATTTGATTAAATCATTTAGTATCTGAAATGTGACAGACCCCCAGAAATACTACACATTTCCACCATTCTCCTGGTCACCCTAACTTTCCTGAAATAATGTTAAATTATATAACATGGATAATGATTTCAAAGGAATGGAAAATTAAAACCTAATCTCTGAATTAGAACCTGATGTTTGAAATATAAGGTCACTCCCATAACCTCCCTGAAAACCCTGTCTTGTGTGCTTTCTCTTTTCCCATCTTACCCACTCCTTAATCAATTCAGCAAAGCTGTCCCAAGATTCTGCTTAGGATGACCTCAAATCTAGCTGACATGTGGAAGCACAGAGCTTCTTAGCCCCATAATCCATAACTGTAACAGGGTGGTCCCCAGGAAAAAGGGAAGTTCCAGGTTCCCTGCCCCACCCAGGGGCAGGAGGGTGAAGCTGAGCAGAGAAAAAGGAGAAGAGAAGGAAGCTGGATGGAGAACAAGGAGACCTGAGGAAGCCACATGGAGCAGCAAGCATGTGATGAAGAAATCGGGCTTGTTTCCTGACCCTGGGCTGGTTAAGGCAGATGTGGGTGAGAGGGAGGTGAACATGGCAGTGTTATATTGATTTTGATTTTGCTCTTTTCCTCCCAGATTTGTCTGGCCATTTCTGACCCTTTTCCATGGGTCCAGGCCAGAAGATGCTTTAGGCTTGTGGAGGGCTTTCAGGCCTTGCTTTGGGCCAATTCCTTTTGGGTTGACTTTTGCCCACAAGGGGATGGGTAACTTCACGTGTTTGATTTAGAAGTTATATTCTCTGTGTTCCATCTTGTATATTCACTGTATTAAAGTCCCTTTTCATTAAAGTTTTATGTTTTGTCTTGTTGCGGTAGATGGCAGAACCCACTTAGAGCAGGCAGGATTTTCGGGCTTCAGCGGTGTCCCTCTCCCCCTGTCCTGGAACAGATTTGGGGTGCCCTATAACATAACCATACATTGGGTCTTCTGTCTATCTTGCCTGCCTACTGTAATAGTTTAGTAGGCATTCCCTCGACAATCCTCTCTCCATTTACATCATGACAGCACAGTACAATTTGCTAAACTTGGAATTCAAGGTTTGGTCCACAGCTGCCTCCAGACAGTATCTAAGTTTTTCAAGATCCACTATAAATGATATTTCTTCCATAATACTGTGGCTGAGGACCTCCCTGGTGGCACAAGGGGTTACAGCACAGCACTATGAAGCTATCAGCAGTCACTGTGGCACTAGTTTGATCCCCAGCCAGGGAGCTGCCCACATGGCACAGCAGACCTCTCCTGTCTAGCCCACCTCCCCTCAGCAGTGTATTTCAGTAGGATCTGCCTATTCTGCTCCCCACTCTGTCCCTGGTAGGTCCTCTCACCCTCACCCCCACCCCAGCTCTTCTGGCCTGTACCCCAGTACTTGTATGCATAAATTATAAATATTAAACCTAAAAAGCTGTTGCTGATACCTCAGTGCTTATGGCACTGATTCTACTTTCTTTCCACTACTATTATTATTATTCCAATACGTGACCCAACATCCTTTCTATGTACTGTAATCTGAAGACAGGGACCATCTTTTACTGTTCCTTTCCATTTTGAAGAACAGCAGATGGCACAGGTTATTTGTAGCAGAAATAGTAATAACTGTCATCAGAATAATCCTTGTCTCAAATTTATTTCCTACCATTTACTTGGGTGTGTGAGCTCTGCCAAATTGTCTATCTAAACCTTAATTCTTTCTTCTACAAAATGGTGACAAAAAAAAATTAGCTTACCACTATAGGTTTGTAGCATGTTGAGCATGTTAGATTCCCTATGAATTACTATTTGTAACTAATCAAATACTCAGTCATCTCAGTATAAGTAACTAATTATGAAATAGTAAGACATAAGACACTCTTCTTATCATTGTTTATGAAAAGCTTTTAGGAATAATAAGAGAATTCTGGGATTTACATAGAATTAGTTTGCCAAAGCCTTCAGTCTTAACTAAAGATAAGTACTAATTTCCCTAAATCCTCCCACAAGGGATTGTTTATCTGAGCTACTTCAGGCTTTAGTTGGTGCTTGGAGGGAGAAGAACCCTCCCAAATAATATGCAGTGACACCTTATTTGTCCTAAAACAAACTGCAGTGAGAAATCAGTGTCTACCCACCAATGCTTTTAGTAAATTTCAACCTTTGGCGACTCAGGAGGTTTGTTGCCATTAAAAAGTTTTCAGAGTTTCCTTCTGGTTCTGATATCATGATTCACTAACTGCCAATCCCGCCTGCACCCTGCATGGCTTCCTCTGAAAGAACACAGCTGGGGCAACTAGAATAGGGCTCAGTGACATCAGCAATACACACCCTATGAGTGTTTCTCAAATGGCATTGCTCAAAGCAGTCATCCGTGTGTGCCTCCAAAAAAGTGGGGGAAATGTAATATATC